TTGCAGCTTCTTTTTATGCATTGACGAGCAAATCCCTTTTCTCAAACTACTTTTCGTCAAAATAACAAAAAGCATCAATGGCATATTTTTCAGATATTTTTTCCTTGTTGATCATGATTTACACCTAAGTGATGGTAAAATACACCTATGTGGTGGTAAAATAAGCCTATGTGGTGGTAAAATAAACCAATGTGGTAGTAAAATAAGCCTATGTGGTGGTAAAATAAACCAATGTGGTGGTAAAATACACCTAAGTAATGGTAAAATACACTAAATTCTAAATTACAACTGAGTAATTGTAAATTACAACTGAGTTATTGTAAATTAGTAAATTACAACTAAGTAATTGTAAATTACAACTGAGTAATTGTAAATTACAACTGAGTTATTGTAAATTACAACTGAGTAATTGTAAATTACAACTGAGTTATTGTAAATTACAACTGAGTAATTGTAAATTACAACTGAGTGATGAATATTGGACATTTAAACTTAAACGGATTTGATACGGATGTGATATTTTTATTTAGACTTGTCTCCTTTTCATTCCAAGAATTCTTTTTCCATGATTTCTCCCGTTGATGGATGAAGGTGATGGAAAAATGTTAATCTTTCACCCCCGTCCTGTTTTGTACCTGCAGAGACACATGTTTCCCTGTACTTGGATATACCTGGAGACAGGTTCAAAACTGACCGACGCGTTGTAGCGGTATTTGGTCATTTCCGGTAAATAAGGTCATCCTTTAACCCCAAGTAGTACTTCAACCCCCCCCCCACCCTACCACTCCCTACCTTTAATTTTTCCTACCTTGGCATTCCTATCAATTCATCAGCAGTACTACAAGCATATTTTTCCAGTGCACAAATAAATTGTGAAATGGAGGCTCTAGGACATCTTCTTAAAATTAGTTTTAAAAGAGTTTATAGTTTAAATTAAAAGGGACTGTCACTGTAATTTTAAGTGCTCCTCCATATAATAAAGGGGCATGCCAAATTCACAGTTGCACCCTTGAAACCTGGTTTGAAAGGTGTTTAATTCCTTTAATTTCTCCATTGTCTCTGAAGCAAGAAATTTTAAGTCGCTTTTTTAGAGAAACCAGAAACGAAAATAGACAGTTTTTAAAAATAAAACGTGGATATCATAGATAAATAAATAAACATAGATAGCTTATGTACGCAAAATCACCAAGAATTGTACAGTCCCCGAACTCATACTTCTAGGGGTCAAAGTGTACTTCAATGATAAGCGGGGTGGTTTTATGTTTTAATTTCATAAAAGAATGTAAAATAACTCCGGGAATAGAACTATTTGAATCACAATATTTCACTGAGCAATATATCATATTGACGAGAACTTAAGAAGGACATGAGAAGGACTAAACTAACTTAAATTTCTCTCTACAGAACTCATGTACACCACTAGTACTCAATGGCATAAGAACAGAGACATGAAAGTAGAACAGGTATGTTAAAATGAATGAAAATGAAGGAGTAAGGGCTAGTGTATAGTATTGGGTTAAGGAACCATAACTTGAGTATAGTAATGGTTTAAATAGTTTATCTATTAAGGAAATCTACCGCTAATGTTTCTCTACATCTATCTATCTATCCATCTATCTATCTATCTATCTATCTATCAATATTTCTATCATAAGAAAACATAAAAATCATATTTTGCTGTAGAATTAGATCATCAAGGGGCAGAATATTCAGCTTAAAGAACAAGGGTTGAGTATGGGCGTTATATTTAGCATTGCAGATAATTCTCACAGCTTGCTTTTGTTTAATACGGATCAAGTTAAGATTCTTGCTACTAGTACACCTATAGACAGAAAGACAATAAAGTAAGTGAGGGTGGAAAAGAGCATAGTATAAAGATTTTAAACCTGAGAGAGAGAGAACGTTTTTAGCGTTTCTCATCATGTAGAGAGACCGATTAAGTTCAGAGATTAATTAGCTGATATGAAAATCAAATGACAAGTTTTCGTCAATGTACACACCAAGAACTTTGTGTATACCTATCTATCTATCTATCCATCTATCTATTTTTCTATCTATTTATCTTATTTAACCGGCCTTCTTTTTGTGAAACTCATGAAATGTTTAAATTTTGCCAGATATTCCAACCATTTTCAAGGAATTCCATTAAATTGCGTTAATATATTTTATGCGTGAGGTAACCCTATTTTTTCAGCTTTGTAAGGTTCTACTCAAAATAAAGTTTTTTTTCGTTTTATTCAAAAACCCATCGCTTAATCACATTTAAAGGAGGATTTGACAATGAACAGAGAGTCTAGGAAATTATAAGATTTTTGTTTAAATATAAAAAAGATATAAATATATTTTATCTATATTCATATACAGGGAAGCCCTTAATAACGAATACGTCGAAAAAATTCATCAAATGTCGTATTCTTCACTTTCTGAAGAGAGAATGTTGCAGATATTTAGTTTTTTAATTAAATGATTATATGGAACTCTTTAAAACTGTTCCCGCATATTCATGGATATTTATTTATTTTCGTAAATACTAAAATTTACGTAATATAGTTTAAAACTCATTGAAAAATTGTCAAGACGACATTTAATAAATTCTTCCGATATATTTGTTATTAAGGGTTTCACTGTATGTAAAACAGTAATCTCTTTTTGGCTGTTTGTCAAGAAACAGAAACCGAATAACAACAAGAGAAATAAAAATTAGTACTTTATGTATACACTATAGTAGGTTGGGAACCCATGCAGCGCTTCCCCGGTTACTCCTAGTAACTCCCGCCGTTTACCGGCACCATTTTACCGGAAAACTAAATTTTCGCTAATAAAGTCGATCTACTCAACTTAGAATATCAAAATCAAGCTAAGAACATTCCCGTGGGTCTCCCGAGTTCCCCAATCAAAATTTGAGGCAAATCGGTCCAGGGGTTTTTGAGTTAAGATCGGACAAACAAACAGACAGACAAACAGAGATTACAACTTTATATACTTAAGAGACGTCTGTACGGTATTTATTCATTTTTATTTCTTATATTTCTGCACTCATTATAATTTATCTTTACTAAATCATTAAATAAACCAGATAGAGCTTATTTTAAGAGAACTTCCCAAATTATATTATCGTATTGTCGTGTTTAAAGGTTTTCAAGGTCGTCATTAAAGTCTAGTCCTTTGTGGGTAACCCTGTATATGCAACTATATTTTTTATAGATACCTCGAAATATGATTGATTGCTGATATCTCAATACGCTATAGATAAAAAAGATAAAGTGCTATCTATAGATCTTGTTAAGATCACTGATCAGCTCATCAATATTATCGCAAATTTTGTGCAGGGGTAATTGGCACAATTTTATTAATTCATCACTGTTATGAAAATAATAAAAATAGTTTAAAAGCCGTCAGCAAAAAATTCATTTTTTTCCATTACATTCTAATAGTTTTGTAAAGAAAAGTGTTCATTTCTATTTGTTTCTGTTATTCAAAAAGAAAAATTTCAACCGCATTTATTTAATTTTAGTAATTTCCCTCTTCCCTCACATATTTATTCTTCAGTGGTTTTATTTTCTTATATTTTTATCTAATTTTTTTACAATTTCTTGACGTCAAAGTATTTTCTAAGAAAACTCGTTTTTATCAAAATAAATTTTCTTAACAAGATATTTTAGTAAAATTCGTCTTTTTAAAATTAAATACAAAGTGTTTGAAGCTCAATTGAGGGTTTTTAGGAAACCATGCAGGGTTTTTAGGATTACTTGCAGGGTTCTTAGAAATGCCATGCAGGGGTTTTAGGATATGTAACGATGTTGCCTAAGCATTTCGTTAAAACCCGATGAGATTTATTTTATATAAATTAGATTCTTATTCTTATATTGGTTTGTAGAATTATTGAAGTAAATGAATGGACTCCATAATACTGGAAACTAAAATTTTATAATCCCTTTATCTTTGAAACCTGATGGAGTAAACTATGATTATCCAATGTCTACTTCATTTGGTTGCAGAGATATAGGGGTTAGAAAATCAGAGTTTGTGGTGTGCAATAACTCAATTCCTTAATAAAATCGACGAACTTCAGAAGAATATCAGTTAGGTTGGTCATTTTTTGCGGAGTAATCATCAATCATTCTTCGACCTTATTGACATCTTCTCCGCCAAAATATATGTTTTGGTGTATTCTTTATTCCGAAAATAGGGATGCTAGACGTTTTGTGTGTGTCGTACTTATATATTACAATATAGCTTCTTCATTTGGTAGTTTTTCATAATATTTTTAATTATTTCATCCCAAAAATTAGCAGAATATCATTTTTCCTGATATTTAGGTTTGTAGGACATATATATAATATATAAGCATGTAGTGTTGCTGATAAGATATTGCTGATGTTAGAAACAGAAATTGCTGATAGAGAAATAAATTTATAAAATTCCGTTACGCGGATTTCTATCCGAATTTTATTCCCAAATATTTGAATGTTTTCAGCTAATAAACTTCAATGACCCATAGCTAGCAAACTAGCTACATTCTACCGAGCTAGTAACCTGATAAAAATAGATAAAGTAATCTGCCAGCACTGCCTACTTCTAATAGCCAATCAAATTCCTCACTTTTAGTCTCGACTAATAGGAAGCAAGCATCGCAAATCTAGCAGCCAATGAGAGCGTCCCTCCCGAAGAATGAGCTTTTCCTGATAGGCTTATTAGGCAACTCAAACTTGATCTCTAAGAGTTTTGGATTCGGGAACTTGAAAAAATAATCTCAATTTAAATATAAATCTTACATTAAAATCTGAGAACTTACAATGTTGTGTGTTAAAAAATTTAATTTAATTCCGAACCCAAAACCGTTTGTAATACGTTCTGAGATTGAAAATCCACCTAATTTGAGTAGGATGGGTCGGGTTGGGTTGGTGAGGGCGTGTCGGGTCGACCCAGGCCGAGAATTAGATCTGCCTGCGCCGGAGTTTGGGGCGGGTTGAGGGGTTACGGGGTTTCTGTCATTCTATCTATCCTTCCTGATAGTGAGAGATTACAATATCTTTACTTTAGCTGTAGTGACGTAATATACTTGCATACATAGAGGTCAGTAAAGATTACTTTTATTGTTAGGCTTGATAACTCTATATCTGTTTATCTGTCTATCTCCGATATAGTGAATACTTCTAAGATAAAAGTATTTAAAGGAATATGAATAATGTTTAAAAGTGTTTGAGAGTCGCGGGATTTATAAGATTTAGTTTCGCAACTTCAGTGCTTTCATATACAAGTGACAATATACTCTGTTAAACATGGTACAGTTAAGTTATTTGCTTTCATGTACCAGTGACAATTTATATTACTGTTAGTTTTGTTTTCATGTACAAGCATACACAATATGAAAATCGCTTAGAGACATGTACTGTACAGAAATATATTTTCATGTAATTGTACGCAGTACGGTTAAATGTTTTACGTTAATATGGAAAAAAAGCTAGCTAAGTTAGAGAAAAGTTAATCATGTTATAAAGAGAACAGTTAATCATATTATAAAGAGAACAGTTAATCATATTATAAAGAGAACAGTTAATCATATTATAAAGAGAACAGTTAATCATATTATAAAGAGAACAGTTAATCATATTATAAAGAGAACAGTTAATCATATTATAAAGAGAACAGTTAATCATATTATAAAGAGAACAGTTAATCATATTATAAAGAGAACAGTTAATCATATTATAAAGAGAACAGTTAATCATATTATAAAGAGAACAGTTAATCATATTATAAAGAGAACAGTTAATCATATTATAAAGAGAACAGTTAATCATATTATAAAGAGAACAGTTAATCATATTATAAAGAGAACAGTTAATCATATTATAAAGAGAACAGTTAATCATATTATAAAGAGAACAGTTAATCATANGAGTACAGTTAAATATGGTAGAGTACAGTTAAATATGGTGGAGTACAGTTAAATATAGTAGAGTACAGTTTATGACTATGTGAAAAGCTTTATGAGTATTCACAACTAAAAACATTAAAACTAACGAAGCACATTCTGTCTGTGTTTGCATTTTTCAATCATATTGTCTTGTCTAATTTTAAATCAGACAAAAAAGGCTAAAAAATACTTTAATTATAAAAATACTTTATAAACTTAAATATTTAAAATACACATCCCAGCAAATAAGAATAAAATAGCCAATGCAAAAAATCAAAGAAATCCGCCAAAAAAACGGAAAATCTAGGAAAAACTTTTCCAGGGTCATTGTAAATAAAATTGCACAAAGAAATAATGCCTCCCAGTAAAGCAACAATATGCCTAAATATTGATTACAAGAGTTGCCCAAAGCCTAGAAGCTCTACAATTTGAGACATGAGACCGTTTATTGACTTCTCCTGTTTTAAATGTCCAATATTTGGGATAAAGATCAACACTGTCTAAACCTTTTCGGATTTTTTTCTATTCATCTTTTAAAGGATTCTGTATATCTATATATTCATTAATTACCCCATTTCATTCATTATTAATATTCTTGTATTCATTAATTCACCCATTTCATTCATTATTAGCCTTCATTTATTCATTAATTTCACCATTTCATTTATTATTAATATTATTAGATTCATTAATCCTACCATTTCATTCATTGTCAATATTCATGTATTCATTAATCCCTCAATTATATTCATTATCAATTTTATTATATTCTTAATCCCACCATTTAATTCATTATCAATATTCTTATATTTATTAATCCCACCATTTAATTCATTATCAATATTCTTATATTCATTAATCGAACCTTTTTATTCATTATTAATTTTCTTATATTCCTTAATCACACTATTTCATTCATTATCAATATTCATATATTCATTAATCCCTCAATTATATTCATTATCAATTTTCTTATATTCTTAATCCCACCATTTAATTCATTATCAATGTTCTTATATATTTTAATCCCACCATTATCCAAAAGTATTATCTCTGTAAAGCTCTTCTGAACTCTCCTTGTTAAAAAGAATACATTTTTTTAAAACCATTTATATTTAACAAAAACTTTTCCATTTCTTTTTACTTTTAAACAAAAAAAGAATTATTATAATCAATTTAAAATTTCCATTCTATCTTTTATTAGTATTTAATAAATATTGCATTTAGTTAATTTGTTGGATAAAGAAATAATATTGATTTTTCTAAAACCTTGCACATAACCTTAGTTATGGTTGGAATGTAAACACTTAAGTACAAAATGTTTGTTGCATTATTATCTCGACTTTGAGACATCGTAGCTGTTGTTATAATTTGGATTTTCCTTCAAAGTTAAGTTTGAGAAAAAGTAAATTTTTCTGGTTTCGAAATAAAATGCGTTTTTTTCAAAAACTCTTTTATAACAGGAGATATTATTTAAAACATTCAATTTACTTCATTTTGACGTGTCACCCTATTCAGCAGATTTATTTTGAAGATGTTTGTGTTGATTTTGAATTTATCTAACACATATCAACATACGTATTACACCCAAGTTCACCCTTCCCCTCCCCCCTCTACCCCTTC